AAGAAGCCGTGCGCACACGCTAGTCAAGCTACAAAAGTAACTCCCATGGACTGACATTTTGAGCCCTGAAGACGTCAGCAGGTGGCTGACGAAAGCTAGGCGTTTTAATTGGTTTTATTAGTAATTTTAGTAATTTTAACATTAAACCAAATTTTCTATCATATTCCCTGGTGCTCGTGTTTTTTCACTGTTTTAATATGGAATCACCCAGGGATCACATTTTTAAAGAAATTTTCGATATATATTTGTCCTCCCTAGTCATTCTGTTTTTCTATTTGGGCAAGAAAATATCTCTAAGCCAATGACATGTGATTCTCATTCACAGTGTTCCCTGACTCCTTCAAGTCATAGTGGAAGTCTAGGGAAGTTGCAGGGAGAAAATTTATGGGGACCATATGACCATAGCTGACAGTGGGTTTGGATTTGCAACTTCATTCCTGGGAAGCTTCCAAGGAAAAAGTCAAAGAGGAACCTTGCAAGGAAGGTTGCAAGCTATTTCAGCAAGTCTTCCCAACTCATGCACTCTTTTCCAGTCCTTTTGTGCTCACACAGCACCAATCAGCCTTCATCGAACAGGTTATGGGTTGTCTAGTATTTTATCACAGGGATGGTTTTGATGCCTAGTAACCACAGAGACATTTCAAGATATAAAATGCATTTAAAGAATTTTATGGCTGCTGGTTTTTGTGAGGAGAAAAAAATGTTAGATAAGATAACCTTTATTGTCATTTTATGAACACACTGGCACACATTAAAAATGAAAATCTGATCCCCCCCCTCTATATATCTATATATCTATATATCTATATATCTATATATCTATATATCTATATAATCTATATATCTATATACAGTGCTTTTTTGTAAAAAAAAAAAAAAAAAAAAAAAAAGGATGGCGGAACTCACCCATGTCATACAATCCGCCTTGCCTACCCTACAAGGTTCCATCCAAAAAAGGTGCCGGAACTCCATTCTGGGTGTTCTATGAGGAAAAAAGCCCTGTCTGTCTGTCTGTCTGTCTGTCTGTCTGTCTGTCTGTCTGTCTGTCTGTCTGTCTGTCTGTCTGTCTGTCTGTCTGTCTGTCTGTCTGTCTATCTATCTATCTACACACATACACACACACACAGAGAGAGAGACATCTATACATATGCTCTCGCTCTCTCTCTCTCTCTCTCTCTCTCTCTCTCTCTCTCTCTCTCTCTCTCTCTCTGTGTGTGTGTGTGTGTTTAATGCTATATGTTACAAAGCTACTACAGAATCTACAGTAGTTGTTCTGCTTCAGATATCACAAAGCCTCCTCCCAGAAAGTAACAAAGAAAACTGGTCATGGAGAAGATGTGCAGTATCCCTGACAATATTGTGGAGCCTGGTTAAGCAGAGCTTATATGCTATATCCTGGATAGAAGGAAGTGAACTTCCAATAGTCTTTTTCTTCTTCTTCACCATTCTCTGCACAGCCTTCATATCCAAAACAGTAATACTTCTAAACCAGACTATAATGCAATATGACAGGATGCTCTCAATCATCCCTCTATAGAAAGTGATAAGGACAGGAGAAGGAAGGGGTGCTCTTTTCATGCGATGCAGAAAATGCAGGTGCTGCTGTGCCTGCTTCACTAGTGTCTCACTGTTGAATGACCAAGCTAACCTACCGTACTTGTTAGCTGCACACCCAGACACTTGATAGAAAATCATTGCCAAGTCAGAAAAGGAAAAGCAAGGAAAAGGAGGGAAAGCTTTTTTCTCATAGTTCCATACTATGAAGATTGATGGATGTTTAAAGGTTTTGTGAGCATAAGGCAAGTCTGATCCTTAGGGCAAAAAAAAAAAAAAAAGCTCTATTCTTTGGTAGTTGATTAAACTGAGTGAAGTATAGAATTCCCATGCTCATCAACAGAAAAGGTAGCAAAACTGTCTGCCGACTAATCTACTTTTAAAAGTTTTGGGTTTTCTCTCTGATGTTCAAAATAAAATAAAATAAAATAAAACCAAATCACTTATTCAGCCACAGCTGCAAAAGCAAGCAATTGTAGTCTTGTGACTACAATTCCCGCTATCCCTAGTTACCATGGTAACTGGTACTAGGTTTTGGAAGGCTGATCTAGACTATAGCAGAAGTATTCCCTCTGTCACTTTGTGAGCGTTGTAAAAAGTGGGACCTTCCAAAGCCATTCTTAACATTAAAACTACAAATACATTCAGTTTTTAAAAGAATGTTGATTCTGATAATGTGAAGGCATAAGTTGGAAGATTATGACAGTCCTTTAAAATAAGTCTTTTGCAATGCATGGGAATGCATGCACAATACCTCTCTTAATCCATTATAGTACTGTAGCTTGTGTCTTTTTCCAAGCGCATAGGGCTGCTTCTTCAAATGCTCACTTTTTCCTAGATCATGAGGCAACCGTAGTAACCTAGAAAAAGATATAAGTACTTTAATGTTTTGCTTCTTGCATTTTCTCACATATCATGAAGCACATTTTAAAAACTTTAAAACAGCACTACTAAAAAAAATATTGTTAGTTCCTATGGATAACATACAGAACACAATTCTAACACGACAGGAAAGTTAAAAACTACTTTAACTGACATGGCTATAATAACAGCATCTTGCAAGTCTATTGTCTCTTCCTCCTCCTCGTACTTTAGTGAATTAAGGAGGCATCTGCCTGAGCCACTTCCAAATATTATCTTATTGCTCTGGATTTAAAACAAGTTTCAGCTCCTTTTGGCTAGGTAACAGTTCCTCCATTTCTGTCTGGTTTATCTTCTGCACATCCTAACCTTACTTCAGTACTCTCGTGCATTCTAACTCTTTGACAATAGGTAAGGGCTAGAAATTCTTTGGAAAGAGGAAATCAGATTGTCTTGTCCCCTCTTTCAGGCAGGAAATGGGGCTGAGATTGCTGTGGTTGCTTCAGTGAATGTAATGGTATGTAGGAATGACCATGGGAAACATAGGGAAGGGAAGGGAAGAGATGCTAAAGGACCTTATCCTGTACTACTGATGTGCTATGGAATAGGTCAGCCCCACCTTTTCTGTTTTCTTCCAAAGAAGTTCTGCTTTAGCCAAGCCCTTTTAATCAATTAATAATTGACTTTCATTCCTCTATAAGACTTCTTTTGTTGTTAGCTTGCTTTATTTTGGAAACCACCTACTTTTATTGTTACTCAGAAAAGCAGCCTACCAATCAAATCAAATGTCTTAGAATTTGTTGGATCAAAAAAACTCTATATTAGTGGAACACTGGATTCAGCCAAAAAAAAAAAAACCATGAAGCAAACCTGGAGTTACTCTTTGCTTAATTCCCAAATGTTCAAAGTTACTTTTTTTTGGACAGTTTTATGGTTAAAGGGCTTTGAGCAAATTGGCTCCTGGACTGAACATGCATTTCAAGACATTAGTAAATGCCATTTATTTTTTCATAGGCCCTTGACCGATGGACTAACATTATCCTGGGAAAATACAATAGAGATGTGAGTCAGCTTTAAGAAAGCCAGTTTGGTTTCGTGGTTAAAGCTACTGGATTAGAAGCCAGGGGATTGTGAGTTCCGTTTTGGGCCAGGCACAAACTCTCTCAGCCTTAGGAAGATGGTAGAGGCAAACCCCACTTCTAAATATGCTGCCAAAAAGATTGCCTGGACTTGTTCCCGTAGTTATTAAGAGGTAGGTCACTCAATGAACTATAGAAACAACAATTTCTTCATTATGGAGGGCCATACAGTGTGTGTAAACTCTGCCCAGGCATTGAAGTTAGAACAACTGCTCTTTGGTAGTTTATTTCCCTATGAGCAAGGTATATCCACAAACACACCCAACTAATTTGCTGAGGCATTATTTATAATTTGGTGTTTTGTGCTGCATGCTCTTTAATAAGAGTCTCCCCATGACAGCACAGTGTACTCACCTTTCCAGTCACAGCAGACTCATGAAAAGAACAATGCAGTCAGCACTCAGCAACCAAGAGGTAACAGGGAAGGCAAAGTATTGTTAGGTTTGCTGTTTAAAGCACAGGTCCAGAGAGGAGTAAAACTGTTGGCAACTTTGCCAAAAGGGCAAAATTCTGTACCAAGAGAACCCTTTCTCTGACAGCCTCTGCTTCTGTGGTTCTGTCTAAAAAATGAAAGATGGAGAAAAACAGAATTCCTTTAAACAACTCCCTTCTAATGCTGAAAGAAACCTAATAACAATGCCCCTGTTTGTTAAAGATGAGATTACTCATTTTGTGAAGCCTGAGAGGTTGAAAACAAACAAGGAAAAGCCAGTTGAGAAATTGGGGAAGTGTATTTGCATATAATTTACATAATTCTCTGACCATTACCAAAAGGAAAAAAAAATGCACCAAAGCTGAAAGGGAGAAAGAAAAGATTGGTTGCCTATGTTGCAACAGGATTCAGGGGGAGTGACCGATGAAGAAAAAGCTCAAAGTAGGCTATTCTTTCGAACAGTCAGAAGAGGCAAAGTAAGAATAAGAGGATTTGAGAGAAACCAAGGAAGCCTTGTTGTAAAAGGGCAAAAGTGCCCTGTGCCCAGGTCTGGAATGGCTTTCCATTTTCTGGGTTACACTGTTCTAGTCCTGTTATTGGCATGCTTTACTGCTGTGGCTGGTAAGTCAAAACTTTAAGTAGATGTAGCATTTAATAATAATAGTATTGGTGGGGGGGGGGTGTGAAACAACATTTAAATAGACAATATTTAAGCATAACTCTTTTTTAAAAAATGGAACCCTAAGCATCCCAATGTAAAGATACACACCAGTATTAGGAGCGCTAGATGAATTCTTTTCAGGTTTTCAGTGAGGAATTAATGGAATAGTTTGAATCTGCCTTGATTTCAGCTAAATTGTGTCTTGTAATCTTAGTCGCATATGAAATTTGCATTATCTTGTTAGAGTTGTCAGACTTTAACCTACAGACAAACATAAGAAAAGCAAAAAGTTCAGGTATTTGGACATGAACGTTTAAATTATTTTTATCATTTTTCTGCACTGGATAAATCCAAAACAGATTTTTTTGAAGTAATTTTCATTGCCTGTAAGGAAATTAATAATACAGTCAGAAATAAGAATAATATAAATCTGTTCGTGACTACTTAAAAGTAAATCCCATTGATTCTAATGGACCTTATTTATTAAGTATGCATAAAATTGCAACATGTTGTTCTGAGCTATAATTAAATTCCAAAGACATGCTGTTGAGACTGATTTTTACTAAACGACATAGAATGTAGTCTTAAATTTAGCAGTAGCTGCAAATGCAATCATTGCTATTAAAAGGGGTGAATGAATTTCTCCTGCAATTTTAGAACATTAATGAAATATTAAATTTAGACAAATGGTTTCAATGCATGCCTACATACTTACCTGAGAGTAAGTCCCATCAAAGTCTGTATGATTAATCTTGACTTGATGCATATAGAGTTGTTGTTTTTTTTACTGAAAATAGCACATAGTAAAATTCTAAATTCAAACAGAGTTGCCCTTCTTATTGATTTTTGGAAAATTAAGTTGAAATCAATATTAATGTATTACATTATAAGGATCTGTGGTAGATATTTCCTTATTTGTGATTTATTTAGTCTTCTATATATTATCACTGAGAGCAATAATGAGGACAGACTTTACATTAATTGCCTCACTGATGACTGGGTGCTACTGGAAAACCATCCAAACATCAAGTGAGAAAATGACTATAGCATCACATACAATTTTATTTTGCATAATACAGCTGCAGTTCGGTATTCATTCTAGTAAACTTTTAAATGGCATTGCATTGATATTTTTTTTCTATTTTTGTGATTTGTTTATACAGATGCAGCTATATTTGAATAAACAGTATAACAGATTACTATTTTCTTTCTCTTCCTGCCCAATATTAAATATTTATTACATGACAAGCAGAAAATTACTAGGCAAGTGACAATATGTACTGATTTTTAAAATATGACATTATTTTTTTAATGTATGTTCCTCCTACTAGATAGTAAATAGCTATTTCTAGAATTGCCCCCTTTCACATCCTCTTGAAATATTTATTCTCAAGTTTACATAAGTTAGCTTCATTAGATCCAATGTAGTTCTAAACCGTATCAGTTATTGTAATAATAGCAGAGGGAAAAAAAACTAACCCTAGCTATAAATTACTCTCTCTTCTAGTCCTCATAGGCTTGAAAAATGCAGTCTCTCTTTCTGTAACCCAACAACCAGACAGGTTCCTTTTAAAACCAAGTATATATTCAACTTGAAATAATACAACAACCTTGGTTGCCTTCCCAAAAAGTCATGGCACAATTTAATCTTCCCACTTCTGGGCTGTGTTTGTTTCTTTTTGCACATTCTCCTTACTGGCCCAGATCCAAATCCCATTTGGTTATTCATTGGATTTTTTTCAGTCACAATCCATTCCATGGATATCACACACTGGGCAATCCTTGTTGCCTTGACACGCTAAGATGGTATCCTTCATGGATGGAAATTGCCTGGCAATCTATCTCTCTTGAATTCCAAGCTTCAGGTCAATGTGCCATCAGTCCATATGACATTACCATACTGTGGTTTTTTTCCCTTTTGCTCTTAAGCAATCTTTCTGACACTCTCTTAACTGGAATGTTTTGTCTGCTGTATCCCTTTTCTTTTAAACTGCCTGGCTTATGTGTAATCTTTCATTTTAAAGCTTCCCCCCCCCCTTTAATCTTGAATAATCCAACAGTCTCACTTAAATTGCTGACTGCATTTTGTTAATGCAGCCTGAAAGCAGGGATAATGGGTGAACTAATCATAATGCCACTTATAGACATTGTTTCCCACAACAGCAGCCAGAACAATCAGGCCACTCTCAGTTAAGATGACACATGTGAGAAGAATCATGAGGCCCCATAAGTTAATAACCTCTTATTTCTAAAATATATAGTGGATATTCTACTAATATAGGTGTTTGAGACTGTTGGGCAATGTTGGGATTCAGGATTTAGTGACTGTGGTCTAGACAAAAGATTTCCTGATGTTTCACTAGCAACTGGCATCTGAATGGCATCTACAGAGGCAAGATACAAAGACCAGGGGCAGTTGAGCTGGGACTGACTGGGCTCTTGTCTTAATCGCTAGGTGTAATGACTTCTGATTGGTCTTTAATTGAGCTGGGTTCTGATTAGTGCAGGTGAGGAGGGCCATGTTGAGATTATTTAACGTGCTGTTTGCAAACATGCAGGTGGTAGATGAAATATGGCTGTTTTAAGTGTTGCGGAGAAGACTAATGCATGCATCCTAAATAATATTTTAATAGAAAGGAATCCGTTTATGTTCTACGAATGGGTACAATGTTATAAGTAAGTTTCTAACAGATATTAGTTGTCATCAAGTATTTTTAAGGATATTACAGTTAGTCCTTGCTTAATAATTAGTCACTTAGTGGCCATTCAAAGTTACAACAATCCCTCTCAAAAGGTACTTACAGTCAGGTTCTGGAGTTTAAATGATGCACACACCACAAACACACAAAGAGTCACTTGACTGCATTTCGGGCACTTGGCAACCGGTTGAAGTGTTCCACACTCCTGTGACCTGATTTATTAATTTTTCCAATTTCTAACCTTTTTGTCTGAATTCCAGCAAAAACCACCGATAGCAATGAATGGACTTGCTTTATGACAGTAGTGTTCATTTTATGATCAGTGTATTAACTTAATGACCACCATAAAAAAGATTGTAAAATCAGGTTGGTCATGTTGGTGCCTCGATTTACAACTGTGATGATTTACAACAGAAATTCTGGGCACCATTACAATCATAAGTCGCAGACAACCTGCACTAAAGGAGGAAAGTATGATACTTTCAAGGAGATGTGGCGTTTTTTCATCGGTATATAGTTAAGGATTTCCAGTTGAATTAAAGTAATCTTTATGAATATTGGTGGTATTTTAAATAATACAAATCTACTGGTAGGTTTTCTGAAAAAGAGCATTATTTCTTCATTCAAAATGTCTTTTAAAATGTTCTCATTGTATGTGCAAAAAAAATGAGACAGAGTAGAAAAGAACATTTTGTGAAGTAGAAATGCCATTTAGCATAACCCAAGTTCAACATCATGGCTATTCAGTGAAACAAATTAAATAAAATTTTATGAATTTAACATTAAAAGGTAATTCATTGAATATAGGGAGGGCACTGGTATTCCTTTCTTGAAGAAACAAGGTTCTAGCATCATTACTGTGAAAATATGCTTAAAAGTATCTGGTAAAACTCTTGAGGGCTAAATAAAATTCCTCGTATTGTGGGCTGGGGCTGCAACATATGCATAGGTATGGGTATATATAACTGAAGACAGCAAATATAGCTAATACTCTTGCCATCTTGTATTCTTTACAGCCTTGTGAGATGGGTCAGTGACTACCCGGCTAATTTACAGTCTCCTGGTTTCTAGGCCAGCACCTTTACCACTATACCAAACGGACTCTCTTGATCTCCCATCTTGATAAAGTATTGAAATTATTAGGGTAGATAAGTGAAAATTAGCTCTCTTTTTTATAGTAGTTTCAGAACAGACTTCTTAGTTCTACTGGGTGTCATTTAATATATCTCTTAGGATAAGCAATTTGGCTATTTGGTACAGAACTATCATCTTTAGCACCCAAAACCTCACTCTCATTGAAACTGGTGGCATTTTTCTCCTTTCTTAGAACTATATTCTGTGAGTTCTTATTTGGATTTGACTATTTCAACAACCATGAGTGTAAAGTCAGTTTGGTGTAGTGGTTCATCAAGCTAGAAATTGGGAGCATGTGAGTTTTAGTCCTGCCTTAGGCACAAAACCAGTTGGGTGATCTTGGGCCAGTCACTCTTGCTCAGCCATAGAAAGAAGGCATTGGCAAACCACTTTCAAAATCTTGCCAACAAAACTCCAGGGACTAGTCCAGGCAGTTATAAGAAGTCAACAATAACACAAATATACTAAAAAAAAAACAGACAACAAAAATGGATCAAAAATAGATTATTTCTGGATTTGAAGCATTATTCATTGCAGAAACATGATACAAAAATAATAGCAAAAGATTAGCCAAGTCATCGGTTCTCATATCAACAGAAGAAGAACAAAGATGACACTTATAAAGTTAGAATATAATGAGCAATTGGTATGTTAGTCCATAAGAAGAAGATCCAAGGATCACAGCTAGGTAATACTTTTTAGCTGGATCAAACCACCTTTTGGCACATCATCTCTCCCGAGGTTAAATTGACCACAACCCTATTGGCCTTTAGGAATTCCCTAGAGACATGGTTGCACCATCAGACTTGGGAATCCCATGGAGGTTTGGAACCTGCAAAAGGGCTGTATTGTTCAAACAGGCTGTTGGCTGGCCTTCTCTCTCACTTTATGTTTCTAGTTAATTTGTTTTAATTGTTTTTATTTTATATTTTATTTTATTGTATTTATATGAGATGGCTAGCTATATAAATTGAAGAACATAAACAAATAAACAAACCACAAAGATCCAATATAATAAATGAAATATGAATTCTCCAGAACTTTTCATGAGATGACAGGAAAGAAACAAGAAAGGCAAAAGTCAGGTGATAACACCCATTGTCAACAGTTCAAGATCTTCAGACTGAATTATTTGTTAATAAATATAATCACTGACACAATTATGTAAGACTGAAGAAAATGGTTGTTTCTCCAGTTATGAAAAGACAAAGACCATTACTTCCTTTTACTCATTTTTCCTTTGGCAAAGTACACAAAATGCTGGTTCAAATTTTGAAGGGTTTCTAAAAAAATTAGCATGCTAATCCATGTTATAGGTGGACTCTTTTTATGATGGTTTAGGTATTTGTGGATTATAGGCCAATCCACTTTGAATTATAGTCCATAAACATTTGTACTGTAATCAATCTTGTAGTCATTCACTTTGAATGGTCTTTTCGTGTTTGGTCTCTCTCTGATCAATCACAACATGTTTTTATTATGTAACAGCACCCTCTGGTGACAGAATCATTGCTTAATCTTATAGGTTACTTAAAAACATGTCTCTACATAAGAATCTTTTCTCAGGGATGGTCTTCAGGTTATTGCTGTAATTTGAATAGATAAGTCATAAGTAACAGTTGTGAAGGGCAACAATTTATGTGTCTAATTTGTTTAAATTACTCCCATTAAAACTGTAATATTTTGTTTGAGATATTCTAAAAGATCATCTGAGAAGTTCCTTTGAAGTATTTTTTTTTAAATATTTCAAACTAGAAGTATACAGGATTGTTCTTTAAATGTTTTAATCAATTAAATTGTTGCAATATTTATATGTGGTGGAAAGGTTGGGCATCATTTCATCAAAATGAAAATATTAGTCAAAATTTGACATGAAGCAATAATTGAGAATAGAAATATTTCATAGCAACAAATGACTTATCTGAAGTACTGTCTGCTATTCTAGGTGTGATGTGATGTTGTGTGGTGAATGAAAAATATGATCAAACATCATTGCAGTTGCCAATAAAAAACACAATAGGTGAGGTGTCAGGTTAAAAATCAGGAAACTTTTGGTTTTAATCCCGCCTTTAGCAAAAAACCTTGGGCCAGTCATTCTTTCTCAGCCCTGGGAAGGAGGCAATGGCAAATTACTCCTGAAATCTTCCCAAGTAAACTGCAAGGCTTAGTTCAGGCAGTTGCCAGGAGTCAGCACTAACGAAGGCGTGCACCCATGTATGCACACACACACACATGGTAATGGAGATGAATTTCCCATTACAGAAGCAGCATATTTATAAGAAATGGATCATTTAAAAATCTATGCAAGTCCAAGGAAGATAAGGCCTTTTGAAACAAAGTTTAAATTAAATCTATTTATAGTAAATAGCGTGAACAAATATGGATCAGCATAAATCTGCCTTCTAATCCTGCATTAGCTACAGAAGCCAGATGGGTAATTTGGAGCTAGTCATTCTGTCCAGTCATTCTCTGTCAACTTAGGAAGAAAGCAATGGCAAAACAGCTCTGAAAGTGTCATCAAGAAAATTGCATGTTTTCTGCATGTAATTGCCAGACATACCCAAAGCTGTTAGTTCTTTTAATTTTAATTTTGTTTCCTGGCAACCATGGACCTATTTCAAGACATTGAATGCCTCATGTATACTAGTGGTCAAGTCACTTGCAATATGATTTGTCAGTGGAGACTAAACACATTTCTTTTTGTTTAGTTTTCTGTTTTTTAGGATAAGCTGTCCAGAGTTGTTCTGGAGTTAGGTGGCCTCTAGATCATACATCTAAATATAAATAAATATCTACCAAACTGTGAAAAAAATAAAGTTGAAACTAATAATAGCACAGCATCAAATAATTGTTGAAAGTGAAATGAAACAGACTAACTTTTAATTACGTTTTTCCAGCTATGGCTCTCTAGTTTAGGACACACATGATCAAACACTTTATAACTCATTTTACCCTTTTTTTTACAATTTTGCCCACCATCCCATTTTACAGATGCACTGCTACTGCAACACATATAAATCCAAACCAGTGTGACTTCTGGCATTCTTAGCAAAAGCTGGTCTGTCCAGCAGTTGATTTTATAAAAATATTATTACCCTTATCTAAGCAAACTAATGGAACTATTCTGAGTGGTTGTAAAGCTATCCTTTTTACAAAATAATTAATTTTTAACTTATTTTTTTACAAGCTATGGAACAAGATTTGGCAGCTAGGTTTTGCTGAATGCTGTTTCTTTTTCATTTTTGTCTAGCTCAAAATGCCTGTGGATCACCTCCTAGAAGAGAACGTGAGCAACCTATGGAAGACCTGGATGCAGAGACATATGTACATGGACGTGTAATATCATATAAATGCCGCCCTGGGTATGTTAAAGCTTGGCATATTAAACTTAAATGTAATGATGGAGTCTGGCAACAATTGGCACCTTCTAAGAGCTGCACAGGTAAGTAATGAAATAATGTTTTGCAAAATTCAGTGAAGAAGGATACTGAAATGTTTAAGAAGTATTTTTTTCACATTTCTGATTAGTATTTTTGATTATAAGCCATCAGGTTGACGTTGCCTCTTAGTAATCATGTAGATAGATTTTTCTCCTGGACAATCTGTGCTCAACCTGTCTTTCAGGTTTTCCAAAACTGAAGTCATCATTGCTGTAACAGTGTCCATCCACTTTGCTGCTAGGGTTTGAAATGGACTCCTAACATTAGAACCATCATTAAAAAGGCACAACAAAGAATGTTCTTCCTGTGTCAACTCAGGAAGTTCAGATTGCCCCAGAAGCTGTTGATACAGTAATACAGAGGAATTACTGAATTTGTCATTTGTACTCCTATAACTGTCTGGTTTGGTACAACAACCAAACAGGACAGGTACAGACTCCAATGAATAGTTGGACTGCAGAAAAAACAATTGCAACCAGCCTGTCTTCCATAGAATGCCTGTATATTGTGCAGAAAAGAACGAGGGCTGACAAAAAAAGCTACAGACCCCTTTCATCTGGATATAAACTGTTTCAACTCCTTCCCTGATGATGCCATTATAGGGCATTGCATGCCAAAACAACTAGACACAGGGACAGTTTTTCCCTCATGCCATCACTCTGCTGAACACCTAATTCTCACAAGACTGTCTTATATCTAAGTATATTTTCCCATGTTTTATGGCTGTAGTAGTAGTATTATCCTTCTCATCTTCTTTAATTCTCTTATTGGTATTATTATTATGATTATTATTACTCTGTTGCTTTGCACGTACATTGCACAGGATACAAATCCCTCTATTCTATTCTATTCTATTCTATTCTATTCTATTCTATTCTATTCTATTCTATTCTATTCCTTCCACTTTCCCCAGCATTACAAACTTCATCAGAAAGCTAGGTCTTTTCACAATGTGTTCAAAGTAGGATCCACCCAACCCAGTAGAGTGGGGAGGCAAGGAATAGAATAGAGCTGGAAGGGACCTTGGAGGTCTTCTAGTCTAGCCCCCTGCTCAAGCAGGGATGTTGCCCCCTAACAAGATACACCCAGTGGAACCCAAAAGAAGGGCCTTTTCCATGGTAATTCTCTTCCTTTGGAATATCATCCCTTCAGAAATTAAACTGGCCCCCACTTTGCTACTTTTTTCCCTAAAGACTTGGTTTTGCCAGAGGGCCTGGGAAACCCAGAGTGATTAATTTGATTGTGTGTTGTCGCCGGGATGGGTGGGTAGGGCTGGTTTTTTTTAAAAAAATTCTATACTATGTTTTTATTGCTTGTAAGCTGCCTGGAGTCGCTGTAAGCGAGTAGGTGTCTATATAAATTTTCTAAATAAATAAATTTTCTGTTTCCCTTTGCATTCTGTTTTTACTTGATACCATGAATTAGTGCCACGAGTGCCATGAATTACATTGTTACAACCAAAAATAGAAATTGCCTTTCAGACTGGATGCCAGGAGGAATATATAGCTATTTCCATGAATAAGAACTTTGAATTTGCCATATGATGTCTTAACGAAAGGCATTTCATATGATTACACATCATTCAGATTATCACAATGTACACACCAATGACGTGAAGCAGGAGTGCAAGATTTCTGAATGTCATAAGACCAGGTTTAGTTCATAATGACAGTGAGATAGGAAAGGTGAAATAGGCAAAGGGAGATGTAAGCGCTGGGCAATCTGAGGGCTTCCCAAATGCTAGTTTTCTTGCTGTATTGCATTGTATTACTTTTTTTTTAAAATTTGCAGGAATATCTTGTGGCCACCCAGGAGATTCTGATTATGCCAGTTTTGAACTTGACCGTGGAGAGGATTTTACTTTTGGTGCCCGTGTTGTTTATACGTGTAATGAAGGGTAATACTTTTACAGTTGTTTTTTCCGCTTTCTAATTATTTGTTTTATGTATAGCTCCATGTATTAAGAAAATCAAAAGCTCTGTCTCCCAAAATAATAATGCAATTATATTGTATTCTAGAGTGGGAGTTTGTAACATATCCCTAGAGTTCTTCTCTCCTGCCTGTATGTAGATCTTGATATGTGGCTAGTCCACAAGAGAAAAAGGAAGCCAAAAGAGAGATAATAGAAGAAAAATAGTCCATGTTATTCACAAACCCAAACACACACACACACACACACACACACACACACACACACACACAAAGAGAGAGAGAGAGAGAGAGAGAGAGAGAGAGAGAGAGAGAGAGAGAGAGAGAGAGAGAAATACCAGTTTGCTGTAGTGGTAAAGATACTGGCTCAGAAACTAAGAGACTTTGAATTTTAGGTTTCCCTTTGGAAAACATGGTAGGCAGGAGTATTAGATATGTTTGCTGCTTTGAGTCATATTTAAAAGACAGGATAAATACACACATACACACACACACACATGTACATTATATATGTATACATATACAGACACTTTAAGATTGGGGCAAGATGAGAGTCTGATGTGATGTAATCTATAGCTCTTGTCTAGCCATCAAGAGGGTAGACACTGATTTAAGAAACATCTCAACAACAGCAGAAGTCCATTCTATTCATCTTTGGGCATTCAATGGGATTCTATATCTATTTAAGTAGAGACTGTGCACCTATTCTTGTTAGGGAGTAAAGCTAACACTTAATAAATATTGTTTTGTTTTAAAAAAACACTTATATTCTCTAACTTGAATGTAGTATGATAGTGCTGTCCTTAATCCTGACAAACAAATCATCTAATTCCACGCCTTCCTTTATTTTATATATGGAATCCTTATTTATTGAGATGCAATTATTTTCAGGAAATATAATACTGAGTATTTGATCTTTAAGTATCATGGATTTAAAGAGTGCTGTGACATCAGATAAAACCATAATCTTATCTCTTATTATGTCTTTGATTTTCTGGCGGCACTGTAGTTGGTAGAATATTTGTTTCCTCTGAGATGTCTAAGCTTTTTGTAAGTTTTTTTGGCTATGTTGTATGTTGCGGTCCCTGATAATGAAATTGCTAGATGAAGAATAATGTCTTGTTTATATATTTTGGGATATCCATAGAAGTTTGCTTGGTGGAACTTAGAAAATAGAGTTAAAAAGAACTAGGGCTGAGAAACACTGTGTTACACAATGGAGGCCATGCATTTTATTGTCAAGAATCCGATGCAGAACATAATAAAATAAATAATATTCCTGGGGGAGCAGCATCCTGAATATATAATCTGATGGATTATAAATCTTTAAGAAGATTTACACCCTGTGCCACAAACTAACCATGATAACATTGACATTGACATGATCCAGCCAAACTGGAACTTTCAGTTTTCACTATATTTTATATCAGTTTCTTAGTAATATGCTGACTTTCATTTATACCACAGGTCCCTTTTTTCACATTCTCGGGATTTCTGCATTTAAGATTTATAACTCAGAGCAGCTCAGTTTGTTTTTCAAAGTGACTTTATTTTTTTTATTAGCTGCTTAATTGCCTTCTACTAAAATGTTTACAGACATAAGCTGTATTTGTATGAAATACTGAAAAGATTCTGCACTTTTTTACTTCTGAATTAGTTTGAAAACCCAAATATCATAGCTATATCAGTGAAAATAGACAACATTATTAGTTATAATTTTTATTTTGCTTTCTTCTCCCATATTTCAGTGATATAAAAATCTGACTTTGCTTGTTTGTTGGTGACTGAAGATAGAATTATCACACTTGTTTCATCTGAACTTATTTTATTGCATATTGGTTTTCTCTGGACTATAATATTTATTTTTGAAAGAGACTTCATTTTGCAGTGTTACTACACAATGTTATCATGTTCTTAAATTTTACCTCTTATCTATCCCTTCATTAAATATTTGGACCACATGAGGGCACTCCTATACAAGGGATAATTAATTGCAAGTTTCATTTATACTTTCTGAGCATTTGTACTTTTCACTGTGCTACATATGCACATGTTTGTATTTGTGAGAGAAATCCAAACGACAATTAGTCTGGTTAAAACAGACTGCAATTTTAACATATTTTAGATTTATATAAGGTATGCAATATCTTGTATCTTATAAAAGATTGTAATTGTAATATTAGTAACATGTCTTTTATATGCTGGTTTCCATTTAATTTACCCCTTCCTACAAGAGGCAGCTCTAATATAGACAATGTGTCAACGCTGCTAACATTGGATGTTCTTGCTTTGACAATATGTAAAGAGGCAGGCTCTCTCTATATAAGCTGTGTGGTATTTTTAGAGTTAAATTAGATGATGCTGGGAGGGGAGGAAAAAGAATGTCTGTGGGGATTAATTAAGATAAGGAATAGCAGCTACAGAAACTGAAGGTAACCTTTGCCCTTCAAACTGATTGGAGAACGTGATTTATGACAGCAAAATAAGAGAGGGAAATATGCTGGCAAAATATGTGCTCAGAGAAGGGGAATTCAGATCTTGGCATCCCTCCATGCTGTACCGACACTGCGTTACATGATTAAAGACTTTTTAGGATAAACAATGCCTGGAGGTTCTTTGAAGTGTTTCATTAGTCGGAACTATGACACAATGATTCCTGGGATTTTCATTACAAAACTTTAAAATACTTTATTACAATGAGGTACTAGTACAAGTTGTTTTTAAAACATCTAAATATTTTGTTCCAAGTGCTTCTTGAAACATGGCACTTTGGTTCATGGGATACAATATTCCTTTTCTATGACCCTGTAGTCCCTATTCAGGGTAGAGTCTGGGCAACTGGATGAAGCATTTACTGGCTGAATGCCCTTCCTGATGCCTATACAGATTTCGTAGAAGTTATTTTTTTCTTTGCGCCCTAGGAGAGAAATATCTGCCTCTAACTAGGATTGAACTCTCAACCTTCTGAATGGGAAGCGAACATGTTTACCAATAGGCCACATGCTGCTCAGTTCATAGATACAATCATGGGATTGTATTCTTGCTGTATTTAATATGTACAATGTTGCTTTTATATTATTTTGTGCTGTGTGAGTCTCTCTCCCCTCCCCCCTCTCTCTGTAATTCATTTTTTTTAATATCATACACTGTTTTGGAAATATAATACTATATATCCAGAAGTGCTTTTGAATTTGATGATAGTTTCAAATGTTTTAGAAGGGAAAACAAATGTAAAAGTTGGGGAGAATGAGTTTCTCATCTTTTTCTAACTAAATACCAAACTTGTTTCAGGTAAATACTGCTACAGTTCCAAGAATGATCAGTAATAATTAGAATAATGCATCTTCTCAATATGTTCTAAACTATATTAAAATGTGCTTTGATGTATAATTCTATTGCAATATTAGTGTTTTGAATTCACTATTTTTTTAAATTATCAGGTATAAGATGCTCAGCCAAGTTGATTACCGTGAATGTCGAGCAAATGGATGGACCAATGAGGTTCCTCATTGTGAAAGTAAGTAGGCTGTCAAAAATGTTATTAGGTATCAGAGTAGTACAAATTGACTTCAATCTCCACATATTGCTATGGTTATCAAGAAATACCATTTCTGGCCTTAGTTGTAAGTTTCAAAACAATTCCATTTGTCTTTTTTATTCCCACGGAAATAAACTCTTCACATAAATTTTTATCAATCACATATTTTTAATAATTTTTACAATGTTTTTCTTCTAAATAAATTACATATTGTTTCAATTTTTTCAAATAATGAAATAAATTTCTGTTTTGAAGTGGAAGAGTTTGCTTAATTATATGTCACATGAGGGATTTAAAGTCTCCTGTATATGCCAAAATCAATACCGGTAGTGCTTAATTTGATGCCTCATCCTTAGTTTCTTGTTGTGTCTGTTGCATGGTTTCTTCTGTCACTTCCATTTGCCTTTTGTCCATGTCTTCTTTAAATGGTTCTAGGAAATCTCATGATGTTAAAACTGAGTTAGTCAAACCCTCTTGCAGGAGATGACCAGGCTGTGCCCAAGGAGGGGTAAAATGCATCATAAGTCATGAGTCCCTGCACATCCATAAAAGATCTAAGTCCAGCCCACCTTGAATACGTCTCTTATTTCCCGCACATTTCTCTTAACAGCCAGTTGGCCAGATTCTTGTAGAGAGTTTAAGCTTGCAATAAATCTTCATACTCATTTGAACTGCCTGATCTCATCTCTTGATTTCCCAGGCTTGACACCTTGACTTGACATCTCTACTATTTAAAATTAAAAATCTCTCCTTCCAATTTGTATCAACAAAACGGTATCTTTTTATTTTTGAGCTTTTCGGTCAAAAATATTTTTCCCCCTTAGGTAGAATTCTGATTGGAATTTCTTTAAGTACAGTTACAGTACATCTGCGTTGTTGATCTTGAACCTGGTATTAAAATGTTTCTGGAGAGCTTAATCTTTTATCTTCCTCCTAACAAAGTGCACAAGAATATCCTCTGATGCAGTTCTTAACTTTGCATAATGTGTACTGATCCTGTATACATTATCTGTCTCTGCCTGCATATCATCTCCATCCCATTACAGAAATTTTGTAAAGATTGAACAACCTATTCTTGATCTTCACTGGTGTCCTTTGGAACCACTCTGAATCTCAGGTGTAATTCTTTTCCTTCTTTAATTCCAATAGTGCCAAGATTGTGTAAATCTTTTCTCCATCTTTCTGTACTATTTCTGCTTCATTTTCTATTTTCTTTTTCTTTTAATTTTTCACCTCTCCAGTCAACTGTCCTAGAGATTCTTCAAGGTATTTTTATCTCTTCTTTCACTTCCTCCTTCATATCTACAAATATTTCTTCCAATCTCCCTTCAAATGTAGTCAAGTCTCTTTTAACAGATTCAGATACATTCTTCCCTAATTCTTCATTTATTTATTTATTTTTAA